AGGTCTTCCATCTACTGGTTCACTGCCCAAATGACTGCAACGGCCCTAGGTGAGCCGATCTGAAGCCAGGAGCTAGGAGCTTCCTCCAGGTTTCCTTCTCAGGTGCAGGGGCCCAAGGACTTAGGCCATTCTCTACTGCCCTCCCAGGCCATAGCAGAGAGCTTGTTTGGAAGTGGAGCAGCCGGACATGAACTGGTGCCCACATGGGATTCTGGTGCTGCAGGCCACGGCTTTAACCCACTACACCACAGCGCTGGCCCTTGATGATCATTTTAATTCCAGTAATAATCTGCTTTGATATTTTTATAGATCAATACTGATTTACATTTATCAACATATTTTCATTTTTTAAAATTTTAATTGCTTAAAGACATCTTTCATTTATGTGAAAGGTAGAACAACACAGAGAGAAAGATAGAGAGAAATATCGCGGTCTCTGGTTCAGTCCCCAAATGGTGCAATGGCTGGGGCTGGGCCAGGCCAACCTTGATAACATGGAATGCTATCTCGTTCTCCTACATGGTTGGCAGTGGTCCAAACATGGACCATCTTCTGCTGTGTTCTCAAGAGCATTAGCAGGAAGCTAGATAGGAAGCAGAGCAGCCAGGACTCAAACTTGCACTCTAATAAGGGGTGTCAACATTGCAAATCACAGTTTAAGCCATGGTGCCACATTTCTGGTACCTCTATTTTTTTAAACACTTATTCATGACTTATTTACTTGAAAGTCAGAGATAAAGAAAAAGAGAGAATCTTCTTTTGGTGGTTCACTTCTCAAATGCCACAACAGCCAGGTCTCAGACTCCAGAAACCAGGAGATCCATCCTGGCCTGCGACATGGCTGCCAGAGGACCAATTACTTGGGACCTCATCCACTACTTTACCAGGCAGGTTAGCAGGAAGTTGTATTGAAAACAGAGCAGTTGAGATTTTAATGAGCACCCCAATATTGGGTGTCAGCATTGTAAAGGTAATTTAATCCAGTGCACCAGACACTTGCCGAATATTTTCCATTTTCGTTGCTTTTTATAATTGATCTCACAATCATTTCTTGCTTCACTGGAAGCACCTTACCTCTGAAATACTTCCATATATTTTATAATGTAACCTTCCTATAAACTTTCATATATTCACATATTATTGAATAAGTACTTTATATGTTTTATCTGATGATAAAAGTAGTTAACTATAAGTTGACACTTATCTTTCAGCATGTTACTAATGGTACTTCATTGTTTATGAGTTTCCTTATTTCTGTTCAAAAATTAAAGAATTATGTGTATGTGGTTCTTTTGTGGCTAATAATTTTTTTTTTCTTAATTTAGTCTTTCAGATTTACTATGAGTTTCAAGGGCTGCCTTTGTGGTACTCTGATGCCAAATAGTTTTATTTTCTGTCTGCTGTAAAAATTATTTACGTGTTTCAGTTTTCATTAACTCTATGAAATTGCAATAATTAGAATTTTCTTAAATTTAAAAAAAACTTGCATGTATAAACAGTGCAATGTTTACTATAACTTAAATAAAATGTTTTCTTAACATTTTCACCATATTATTTCAGTATTAACTAATTAAAATAAATTATCCATTGTGTGTAATTTTATCAATACATTGGTTTCTAAGTAGAATATTCTATAAAATAGTGATTATCCAACAACCTTAAGGAAGTATTGGTATATCATTAACATAGTTTTAACAGTTATGAAAAATAAGCTAATGACATGAAAAATATGAAGACAATGAAATTAAAGCATATATGCAATAAGAGGTGGTTATTTTAATCATTATTGATATTAAATTGTGTTTTGCCAACATAAAAAGAAAATCAATGTAATGTAAATGTAGGTAGCAACAATTCCACATTGTAATTTAAATTTAAAATTTTTATTTAGGAATTTTCACTTTATTTAAAAAGTAAAGTGCCAGATAGATAAAACAGTCCAATATCTACATTTCACTCTCCAGATGCCTATCCTAAAATATACATTATAGGGGCCGGCACTGTGGCATAGTGGGTAAAGCTGCAGCCTGACATCCCGTATTGGCACTTTTTCTAGTCCCAGCTGCTCTAGTTCTGATCCAGCTCTCTGCTATGGCCTGGGAAAGCAGTAGAAGATGGCCCAAGTCCTTGGGACCCTGCACCCACGTGGGAGACCCGGAAGAAACTCCTGGCTCCAGGCTTTTGATCAAAATAGCTCCAGCCTTTGCAGCCAATTGGTGAATGAACCAGCAGATGGAAGACCTCTCTCTTTCTGCCTCTCTGTCTCTGTGTAGCGCTGACTTTCAAACAGATAAATAAATCTTTTAAAAAATATCCTATGTTTGAAAATGTATTTTTTTTTTATTTGAAAGACAGAGTTATCGAGAGAAGGAGAGGCAGAGATAAATACACAGATCTTCAATTTGCTGAATCATTACCCAAATACCTGCAACAGGCAATTCTGGATGAGGCTAAATATAAGTCCCTGGAACTCCATCAGGGTCTCCCACTAGAGGTCAGGGGCCAACTGCTTGAGCCCTCATTCATTGCCTTCTCAGACACACTGACAGGAAACTGGATGGTAAGCAGGGGAGCAGGGATCTAAATGGGCTTCAGACAAGGGATCCTATTGTGATTGGTTAGAACTGGATCACCTGAGCTGTTAGAATTGACTCCCAAACATCTGAACTGCTAGGCCAAACTCCTGACACCAAACTATCTTTTAATATAGAACTGTGTTGCATTTTATGCCACAGAAAAACATCACCAACAATAAAACTGGAAAGATAAAGTTAAAGACAGATGGAGGAAAGAAGAAGCAGGAAAAGGAAGAGGAGAAGGCAATTTCAAGCATGTCTTTAGTATCCTTGGCTAGCAATACCAAATAGGATTATTGGCACATTAGAAATTTAAATTAAAAACAGAGGAAAAAAACCTGCTGTCAAAATAACAGTAAGATGAGAACAGATGTTAACAAAATTTTCCTCATTCAAAAAAGTAAATTCAAATGTGTTTGTCCTTATTTGGTTATTTAAATAATCCACATACATGTTATTCTTTGTTATTTTGAAACCCTCACTTATTTTTCTTTAACTGTTCCCAGTTTTACTCCTACAACAATTCTATATTTATTGTTACTCCTACTTGATAAATCGTGCCATCTTCCAAAGTATATTTCTTTTCCACATATATTTAGCTCCTCATCCTGCCAATCATTAAGTTTTCTCTTTATGCATGTGAAAAATCACTTAGGGATAGTACATTAATATTTTCACTAAAATAATTTTGAATGAGAAAATAGTCAACTATATTATTAATAACCATTTTCAAGATCATATGCCATTCCATTAAGCATCAGTAAAACAACCTTTGTACAAAGGAAGTTTGGACTACATTAGGATTTTGCATTTTGTTTGTGATGAGTTTGCCAATGAATTAGACATGTGTGCCTCATATTTTGATTAACAATAATGCTTTTGCGTAGGATTCCACAGAGAAAAAATGAACACCAGTAACCATTCAGCTCTGATAATAATACCTTGTTAGTATAAATGCATGACCAAAGGCAAAAGTATCTGACAGTATTTAAGAACAATATATCAGAAATTTTCATAGCAAATAATGCATAAAAATAAGTTTTCTGACATTTACAGAAGTGTCCCTGCAATTAGTAATACATAATTGCATTATTACCATTTGCTGGTCATCTAGAATTAAAATACAATGAATACTCTTATCCACCTTTTTTCTTTCTAGTTTTAGTGGATCACGAGGAAGTAATTAAACTAATAGTCACAATCATTTCAAATATAAGTGTGATTATTGGAAGAAGACATAATAGTTTAAACTCAATATGACCCATAAACAATGGAAAAGACAAGTCGTTTAATGGAGAATGCTCATAAGGACTAATTTTCCAGGTTTGCTTTCATCAAAATGATGATTGCTAGGTAATGAATGGCTGTAGCTGCATCTTTGCATGCATGCAATATGTAAAACTGCTTAAATCTGACTTAAAATTGTTTAAACTTAAAGTAATACATATGTTCCTCATATTTGTCATTTCATTAGAAATTCAGTGATATATATATTTAAATCAGTGTAATCTAAAAGTTTACATATTTTATATTATATAATGTCATTTGTTGCCCTCAATTTACTTATGGTTCTTTTATTAAAAATATTTATTTATTTATTGAAAGGCAGAGCTCCAGAGACGGAGAGGCAGAGGCACAGAGCAAGAGAGAGAGAGAGAGAGAGAGAGAGAGGGAGAGAGAGAGATCTTCTATACATATGTCACTCTCCAAATGGCCACAACTGCTGGAGCTGGGACAACTTGAAGCCAGGAGCCAGGAACTTCTTCCAGGTCTCCCACACGTGGGTACAGGGCCCAAGCACTTGGGTCATCTTCTGCTGCTTTCCCAGGAACATTATCACAGAGCTGGACTGGAAGTGGAGCAGGCAGAAAACTAACTGCTGCCCATATGAGATAATGTTCCTGCAGGGGGCAGCTTTACCTGCTAGGCCGCAGTGTCAGCCCTTTTAGTTCTTGAATTCATTATTTTGTGTAATGTTGCCTCCTTTTGACAATTTCCTTGGTTGTTTTATACAATTCATCATCCTTTCAAAATTAAATCTTTCCTTATAGGCAAATGGAGTTTACTGACGTGCATTTAGTAGATTTATGCGTGTGTATTTATGTCTGTAACTTATAGGGACTCTACTGTGTGTACCTTTCATTAACTGCTTTATTTATTTCTTCTCATGTGGTTTCTCTCTTCCGTCTGCCTGCAATTCTTTTTCCATGATGGACAATTCATGAAACTTTGGGATTTCCCTTTCCTTTCAACATTTATTTTCTTCTTTCTCTTTAGAAAGGATAAATTCCACTTATGATATAGCATTAAATGTGCCTTCCAAACATTTAGGGGGTTTTTGTAACCAATTATACTTTAATTTTTATAATATATATATTTTTCTATTAATGTGTATTTTTCTTTTCCTCATTTATGACCACATTTTTCTGAAGATGTGAATTGTGATTGATTATAACATTTTATATATGATTTAAAATATAGAAATATAATGTATATATCTGTTTATTTGTCTTAATTTTCATGTTTATGATTTATTTAAATGTCTCAGGTTTTTAAAAGATGCTGTAGTAGAAAATTTTACTAGGAGTGTGTCAGCAGAGTTTTTGCTATGAAAAAATGCATGAAAAAATCCAAAAAGTAATTTTTTTCATTGGAGGGGAGAAAAGTAAATGTGACATTAAATGACTTTATCTGAATGATTTCTCTCACAAGAAAAAAATGCCTACACCTAATTTAGAAAAGAATCAGAAGTTAAGGATTAGGTGGAATGTTTATGTTGCCACTATACATTATAACAAATGAATTCATGGTTATAGGCCCATTGTCAATACATTCTTTGTGATCAAGTATAACTTTTGATCAAATACAATTTTCTGAAGAAATCTAAATCAGTAATTCTGACATTTTCTGAGGCCTTAAAAGTTAACACTGGCCAGGGAACTTTAGGATAAAAAGCCAGCACTTACCACATGCAGTCCAACATTTTTTTTTTTTTTTCAGATATGAATGAGTCTTATATAATTAATCTTTCACAAAGTAGCTAATTATAGTGTTCAATAGATTATTTAATATTATTGATTTAGTTTCAACCCACTCTGGGAATTTGAGATGAGTGACAAGGGTTAGTTCACCCTTGGAGAATGAGAACCTCTATGCCAAGCTCAAATACAGCCTCTTCCTCTGTTTCCCTTGCTAGTCTTTTCATAGACCCATTGCACAGCGTCTGAATTGCCAGGCTGAGGATCCACACAGGCCATTGTAGTCACTTAGTTCACTAGTGTTCTTCTGAGAAATTTATTTATTTTGTGTGGGCATTGATATGTGGTTTAAAAGGCACACCCTGTATTACCTTTCCTCTCAGTCTACCCAAATAACATCTCTGATCTCCCAATTTCTTTCATTCTTCTTTGCTGGCCAATAACAAGTCAACCATTTTGCTTTGTCCACAATTATAAGTGAATCTTTACTTTGAATTCCTATAAAGAAAGAGGATGAGAATATATAATCCTCAAAGTAAAACAATATATTTTAAAGGCTTTTATTAGTGGGATCATAATGCAGCTATTTTTGAAAAATTCTATTAGTGTCTCTCTACAGTAAGTAGATACATCCATGTTTATTTACCCCTTTGCAGCTACTTCAGCAAACCTTCATGAGATATTATTTGTGAGCTGGTGAGGAACCGTTGTGTTAGAAATGATAGATGATCTAAAGGTCTTTGGTGAGAGACATTTGTTAATTTGGCATGTTGTGTGATGTCTGTACTTTATGTGGCCTAATACTAGATGAACCTTAGGCATTTTATTTACATGATTGTCTGTATGATGAACAAAGACTAGGATTTGGTGGATGTGATGGTATCATGTTTGTGGTGGACAGTTCTGGGTAAATACTTCATGTCCTAAAGTTATATATTTACTCACTACCAGAAACAAGCTTACCTTGATTAAGTTATAGGTGTTCACAAGGTGTATAAGTGTCAAGTGCAACAGAATATCCTTCTTGTTCTAGAACTGTAGAGTCATACGTGTGACAGAATTGTTTGCTGGGGTCGGTGATTTGGCATAGGAGATAAAGCCTCTGCCTGTAGTGCTGGTTTAAGCTCTATGAGTGCCATTTAAGCTCCTGATTCCTGGCTTCAAATCGGCCACTTGGGAAGTGAACCAGTGGATGCAAGATTCTCTCTCTCTGTCTCTCTCCCCCTTAGCCTCTCTGTAATTCTGCCTTTTAAATAAATTAATACATTTTCAAAAAAAAAATAAACTTGTTTGCTGAGACAATACATGGTGCATTTACCCACCATAGACACCAGACACAGCTGTTATGAGCACAGTTGTTGATGTAGCTGGGCTACTTGTAGAATATAACTGACCTTCAAAGTACTCTACTTCTTTCTTATTTGTAGCATATATTGAAATTCAATTGTAATCAAATACTTTAAAAATTTAACTTGGCTGCAATAAGTAAACATATTTCAGATGACTGGGTTTATAAAACTTTACGATGACGGCAGCCCCCTGAATCATTGTAGATTGTCTGACACCTTTATAACAATTATAAATACATCCTAACTACCTTCCAATGTATGCTCAAAATAGTATTTATTTATTTACTTATTATATTTATCAAAATAGTTGGAAATTATGATGTTTGTATAACATTCAAATGAAGCATTGCCATACAGGTATAGTATGACAACGAGTATGATATTTACACTGCACTAAATCAAGACTGAAACTGAATATTGCTATTTATAAAATAGGAAAGAGGATTAAAAATGATACATTCTGGTTAATTCCCTACTGTTTGCATACTAAGGATATTATACCCAACATTCAAGTGCAACTGAGTTTATCATTGGTTTAAGTTTCCAGAAGTCCATATTACTTATCTTGACATCCCTTGATAACATTGAACACTAATACAATTTATATATTCAAAGCTTCCCAAGCATGTTTCAGTTTTTAAGACATACATATATGTGTGCATGTTCATACATAAACATATATGTATGTTATATCTGTAATATATGTATATATGTATATAATTAGATGTATGTCATAATAACAGCATTACTACAATGAAAACATTGACATTATCCATTTTTCACATCAGTTCCACTCATGCCCCTTCATCATTCCTCCTTCCCAGTTCCTGTTATACCCTGTAATGGACAACCACAGATCTCCCTTTCAACAGTAAAGATAGATTTGACATTTTCTGAGTTTATATAAATAGAGTCATTCAGCATGCATCAGTTATGTCTTGATTCTTTTGCTGAGCATAACTCTTTTGAGATGAGACCATATTTTGCATGTATCAACATTTCATTCCTTTTTATTGCCTTTTTATTGCCGTGTAGTGTTCCATATTTGCAAATGTCAGAATGTGTTTATCCATTCATTTGTTCATGGTCATTTGGCTTTTGTGTTTCCAGTTCTGGGTTACTAAAAATGAAGTTACTATGGGCATTTTTACAAACCTTTTTGAAAATATTCAATAAAACTTTAAAGTGTACTATATTCCTTTCTTGATTAAATTGTTTCAATCAATTCAACAATGGAGCACATACAATAATACTAATATACAAAATTTACATTTTTGTACTGGAAAAATGAAATTAACAGACAAAGATTTATCAACCTTTTCTGTTGAATTATAAACATAAAGTAAAGCCAGTAAAAACTACCATCAAAGAACAACTAACAGTTAGCATTCTTACCATATCTATAAAGTATATAATCCAGCATCCCTTTATTGTTTTATTGCACACACTGCATGTGGATATACCTGTGCACTTATGGTACATACACACACACACACACACACACATATACAGTATACATATACCCAAAGACTCATAAGCATATACATTTTCCTACATATAATTTCCTGTGCAGATATCATAGCTTTTATTCTCTCATAGTTGTTTGTACTGTTCACATTCCATTGCACTTTTCTTCCATATTTTATTACAACTTGCGTAGCTATGGGCAAGCTATAATCTTTATCATCTTTCCATTTACTCAGCAAGTTTTCTAACTTCTTGAACACCAATGTGATTTTTTTTAAAGATTTATTGATTTATTTGAAAGTCAGAGTTACACAGAGAGAGTAGGAGAGACAGAGAGGTCTTCCATCCGCTGGTTCACTCCCCAATTGGCCGCAAAGCCGGGGTTGTGCTGATCCCAAGCCAGGAGCCAGGAGCTTCCTCCGGGTCTCCGACACGAGACTTGGGACATCCTCTACTGCTTTCCCAGGCCATCGCAGAGAGCTGGATCAGAAGTAGAGCAGCCAGGATTCGAATTGGCACCCATATGGGATGTCGGCACTGGAGGTGGCAGCTTTACCTGCAATGCCCCAGGTCCAGCCTCACAAGTGTAATTTTAATCTGTGCTCCCTCAAACTATGTATTTCTGTACAAATCAAAGTTAAAAATAAAAATATATTTTAGTAAAATAATTGCTGTGATATGCATCTGCTTTACAGATTATGAGTCCTAATTATCAGGATATAGATTTTTTTAAAAGCTTCATTTTCTAGGACACAATCAAAAATATAAAAGTTATTAAAGGAATTTTTTTAGCCAAAACTGAACAATGTTGGATCATTAAATGAAATTGCAGGGAGCACTCTTTTGTTTATTTCAAAAGGTTGAAATCTGTCTAAACAAAGGATGCTTTGAAATCCCAGCCACAATTACTTAGGATTATATCTTTGTTTAGAAATAAATTTATTGCAGATATGATTCCTTGTCCTTACTTTAACATGAAATCACAATCGATTTAGATAGGCCCTTACTCTAATGTGACTGGCATTTGTATAAGAAGAGCAGGGAGAGATTTTGACCCAGAAGTAAAACAACATGTACTACCAGACATAGGGACTGGATACAACTGAAAGACAAGAAATGAGAAAAATCAATGACCAAAAATCTAGGAAGAGACAACTAGGGTAAAATATGGTTTAAGAAACACACACATATGGATGCAAAGTGGACAAGGGTGGAAAGTGATGGTTAATCCTATATGTAAAATTAGCTGATGTATAATGTTCAGATATTTAATAAAACTTTAGTTTCAGCAACACTGGAAGATATTTTGCAGATGTGCTTAGCATTTACCATTCATTGACTCATGTAAAGGATATTATCCTTGGTAATGTAGATAATCTTCCTCCAAACAGTTGAAGGCCTTATAACCAAAAAAAAAAAAATGTATTTTCTCTGAGGAGGTGAAAAATTTTAACTTTTAGGCCAGCGCCACGGGTCACTAGGATAATCCTCCGCCTTGCGGCGCCGGCACACCAGGTTCTAGTCCCGGTCGGGGCGCCGGATTCTGTCCCGGTTGCCCCTCTTCCAGGCCAGCTCTCTGCTGTGGCCCAGGAGTGCAGTGGAGGATGACCCAAGTGCTTGGGCCCTGCACCCCATGGGAGACCAGGATAAGTACCTGGCTACTGCCATCGGATCAACGCAGTGCACCAGCCGCGGTGGCCATTGGAGGGTGAACCAACTGCAAAGGAAGACCTTTCTCTCTGTCTCTCTCTCTCACTGTCCACTCTGCCTGTCAAAAAAAAAAAAATTTTTTTTTAACTTTTGACTGTGGCAGTGTTTACATAAGATCTCATCCTCTATAGTGACAATTTAACCCCTTTCATACTTGGATGCCATTTATTTACTTATTTGTCTGATTCCTCTGGCTAGGACCTTCAGTATTAAACAGAAGTGGTGAGAATGAATATTTTTGCCTTGTTCTTTATCTTTGATAAAAGTTCTTCAATTTCTCTCCAGTGAGAATGATGTGAGTTATGCGCTTGTGGTGCATGGCCTTTATTTTGTTGTTTAATTTATTATTTTTTAAGGATTTTCATCATGAAATGATGCTTCATTTTGGCAAATGCTCTTTATTTATCTATTAAAACATTCGTCTTTTTGTCATTCATTCCATTATTGTGGTATATTACAGTTAATAATTTGCATATCTGGAATCATCTTTCATTGTAGAAATGAATCCCACTTGATCATGCTAAATGATCCTTTAAATGTGCTGTAAGACCTTAAAACTCACATCAAAAGTTGTTAGAAATAATAAATGAGCTCAGTAAGGCTGTAGGATAGAAGAATCTATATGGAAAAATTAATAGCATATCCATACACTAGGAATAATTATCTGGGAAGAAATCAAGAAAGCAGTCACATTTAAAAAGCACATCAAAATATTAAAATGAAATCATAGTATCAAATTTTCCAAGGATTTTAGAAACCTGAAAAACTATGAAAAAGGTTAAAGATATTGAAGACACAAATGGAAAAATAACATAGGTCCATGCTTTCAAAAAAATGAACATTGTCATCATGTCCATATTATCCAAAATGATGCACAGATTATATGTAATTCCCATCAAAATTCAAATGGTATGTTTTACAGAAAGAAAAATAATCTAAAATTCATAGTAAATACAGAAAGTATAGAATAGACAAAATAATTGAGTAAAAAAACTAAGTTGTATTTACCATACCACTTGATCTCAAAACGATTTACAAAATTCATATAGTAATGAAAACAGTATGACCGTGGCCAAAATATAGTGGTATTGACCAATGGAAAATAACAGAGAACCCAGAAATAACCCTGAATATTTATAGTGAATTGATTTTCAACAATGATGTCAAGAATTTACAACAAATATGATGATTTTTGATACATAATGGGAAAGCCACATTCATAAGAATTTTTCTGTATCTCAATTTATATACAAAATTTCAATCAAAATGGATTAAAACCTTGAGCATAACTGCAGTGAAGTTGCATTTTTTGTCCTTGACCATAGAAAGGAATGTTCTGGATATGACCCCAAAAGCATAAATACAAGAACCAGATTGCATCCACTAAATGCTTCTGAAAAAAAAAAAAAAAGAAAGAAAAAAGAAAAAGTAAAGAGAAAATCCAAGGAATAAGAGGAAAGCAAATGTCCAACGTATGTAACGGGCAAACTACTTTCAGTAATGAGAAAATAGTTGTGTGCTGTATAATATTTCATTCAATAATGCATCATAAACAGGAAGGTGCTCCTGTAAGATTATCACAGAGCAGACATTACCAGTGAATACATAGTAAAGGACAGCCAAGATCAATGGAAAATCTAAAAGAAGAAAAAGAAAAGTTTCCTAAAGGATTCACAGTGAAAAACTTTAGTGTAAGATTCTGCTGGGATCAAGAAGTTTCTGGAAAAGTTTGAAATCATGGACTTCAATACCCAATAGTTTCGGTAATAAAGAGGAACATTCTTGATATAAAATCGACTTACAAGCAAAGATGTGATTTAAAGAAAGCAAGTATAACTTTCTGCAAAGAAAATGCATTTCACTTCCCTTTGAAGAACTTCAGTGGGACAAGAGTAGAGTTTGGAAGACCAAGCTATTGATGCTCCTCTTCCTGCGTAGGTCTAGGCTAATATATGTAGTTGTGTCTCAGCTGATTAATAAAACATTGTATTTTACTTTTTTTTTTATTTCCGTCTACCTGAAAGGGAGAGAATATCCTTCATCTTCTGGTTCACTTTCCAAATGGAACTCCGAGGAACCCAGAATTCCATATGGTTCTCCCGCAGAGAGGGCAGGGACACACCTTCTGGAACACGATGTGCCGCCTTCTTCCTAGGATGCATTAGTAAGAAGCTGGGTCAGATGCAGAATAACCAGGACTCAAACTAGCACTCTTATTTGGGCTTTGGCAGCTTAACCCATTTCAACACAGTGCCTGCTTCGGTATTTTTTATCAGTTATTTTGAAACACAGTCACGATCATTCTGTGGGTACTTTATACGTATAATGCAGAGATGAATCATTACAAGATAGCACATATCAGAGAGCCTAAAATATTTTCTGCTCTTCTTTTTACTGAAAATAATTGTCAACCTCTGGTCTAGCATAATAGAGATTAACAAAGATTTATCATATATTATAAGAAAAATTATAGGTTATTCGGGAAGGAATCTATACTCAAAATGTAATTAAGCCACAAGCCTTTAGTGGGTAAAATAAAACAAACCAATAGGCAATAGCGAATCACTCATTTTACGTAAAATGTTACATTTCAAGGGTTGAAATGTAAAGTTTTGTAACTTATTTTATAGTGCTAGTATAACCCAAAGCTACTTAAGAATATAGATCCTAAAAGAACATGTAAAATGTTAGAAAATTATTCAGTAGAGTATCAAAGTAGTTATAATTATTTTAAAATGATAAGTTCAGAAATTTTAAAATTATATATACATATCTATTTTCTATAAGCCTTATCTAATACTATTTTCTTATGCTTTCACACCTGGGGCATATTTGAATATTTTGGAAAGAAGCTTAGTTTGATTTAACCTGACAAAATTGTACTGTCAAACTGAATAATTGTAATGCTGTCTGCACCTTGAAATAAAAAATCAGGAGACACAGAGGCCAACGTATTTTTGTTTCCATGGATAACTTTTCAGTAGTATCTAGGTCAGAAAAATCAGTTTAAAAAGCAAGCAGGCACAACCCCTTTCTCAGGAGCAGAAAAGTAATGATTCGGTCATTAGTAATTTCTATTTGGAAAAAAATTACATTCTTTTATTTTAAAGAAGGAATGGGAGATTTATGAAAATACAGACAAAAATCCAGACTAGTTGTAAATATAAAAAAAGTCTAAGTACAGGCATAAAAAAGATAAATAGAATTCAGTGGAAGACAATAATAGAGAAAAAGATGAATCCACTTAACATGACTAAAAAAAAAAGACCACTGCTGCTGTTTCCATATTATCTTAATTAAACTACTTCCAAAGATCATATTAGTATTTGTGATAACACCTTAAACATTTTCTAATTGTTTATCCTATATATCAAAGGAGATATCTTCTTTTTAGTTAACACTAATTATACATATTTATGGACTATGGTGTGACATTTCAATACATGAATACAATATTATCCAATTAAATTGTGGTAAACAACATCTTATCTTCTTTACATTACTTTTTGATTGTGTTCTTTCTTTTATTTATTCATAAAACACGTAATGTATTTAATGTGAGCAGTAGTCACTCCACCTTGCTGTGTGACACTTAGGATTTATTCCCATGCTTTTACTCTGATGTGGTTCCAATTATTCTTAATTTGATTGAAAGGAAAAGATGCAGAGAAAGAAAGAGAGAGAGATGGGGATAGAAAGCAGCTCTCATCTGCTATCATCTACTGATTCAATGCCATGGCTGGAAAAAAGCAAAAAGAAAGCAAGGATAGTATAAAATTTCCCAAAGCACATTGTCAAATTTACTTTTTCCCAGAAATAAGTATTATTGTACACCAACTAAATAATCCCTTCTTATTAATCTATCATTATGTAAGGCTTAATTTCTACTATTCTTCTATACAATAGTGATACAGTTAAGTAAATAAATCAGGAATTCTAGTTTCTAAGATTTTGAGGTTTACCACTTGCCTGTTAAAAATGATAATGAAATGAATTGAGAGGGTTTATAAAATTATTTTCCCAGTTTTTTAAAGATTTATTTTATTTATTTGAATGACACAGTTACAGAGAGAGAGGTCTTCCATCTGCTGTTTCACTCCCCAGATGGTTGCAATGGCTGGAGCTGCGCTGATCCGAAGCCAGGAGCCAGGAGTTTCTTCGGGTCTCCCACGTGGGTTCAGCGCCACAAGGACTTGGGCCAACTTCTACTGCTATCCCTAGCCATAGCAGACAGCTGGACTGGAAGAGGAGCAGCCAGGACTAGAACCGGCGCCCATATGGAATGCCGGCGCTTCAGGCCAGGGCTTTAACCTGCTGTGCCACAGACCTGGCCCCAAATTATTTTCTAGTCAAATATAAATTGAATAAATTAGATATGTTATTACTACTTGCTGTATTGAATATGACCACAAAAGGCTGTTACAAGAAAGGAAAACATCTGAAATGAATTAACTATAATATCAACTGGACAATCCATGTTTGCTGATTTTTAAAAATTCTATAGCTTTCAAAATGACAGTTTTTGTTTACTTATTTGTTTAATTGTTGCTTACACAAATGGATAAATAATTTGACATACATTCTTGGAATAAACATAAAAATATATTGATATATTTATTTAAATAAATACATGAGACATATTTCTGTTTAGACAGGGCTTTAAGATTACTCTAACAAATATATAATGTACCTATATTCAAATTTGTGGTTTTTAACAGTGTAACCTAATGGATGCTTACTACTAGTAGTGTTAAACTATTGAACTCAAACAAGCATAGAGGTTAGAGGCAACTGAAATATATTTTAAATATAGTAATTTAACAAATGGTGTTCATTAATTAAATTGTGTATGACAATAAGCAGAAGAAATAAATTATAATATTTTGTACTATTGTATTATAGTGCTTTTGTATGTCTGCTGGAGATGACACAAATTTTCAAAGTGTGAATTTCCTAAGAAACTGCTTAGGCATTTTTTAGGAAGCAAGTGGAGCGGATTGTTGTGAGCTGTAGAACAAAATTCCTGCTGTAACTTTTTTTTTTTTTTTTTTTTTGACAGGCAGAGTAGACAGTGAGAGAGAGAGACAGAGAGAAAGATCTTCCTTTATTGTTGGTTCACCCTCCAATGGCCACTGCGCTTCGGCTGGCGCACTGTGCTGATCCGAAGCCAGGAGCCAGGTGCTTCTCCTGGTCTCCCATGCAGGTGCAGGGCCCAAGGACTTGGGCCATCCTCCACCGCACTCCCGGGCCACAGCAGAGAGCTGGACTGGAAGTGGGGCAACTGGGAGAGAATCCGGCGCCCCGACCGGGACTAGAACCTGGTGTCCGGTGCCGCAAGCAGAGGATTAGCCTAGTGAGCCGTGGCGCCGGCCCTGCTGTAACAAATTTAAACTGAAGACTCCTTCAGTGATGACTGAATTTTGTAAATTTGTATTCAGGAAGTTATACCAGAATGTTTTTACCCAACATTGTATTCAATGTGGTTCATTTTCAGAAAATCACAGAATAGGTACACGATTTTCAATAATTAATTAATTAATTAATTACTTTTATTCCAGAAGTGGAAGAACAGAGGTATGCAAGGAGTGACAGAGAATCCCATCAATTGGTTCACTCTCCAAATGTGTATGATGACTGGGTTTTGGGGAGGCTGAAGCCTGGACCTGGAAATTCAGCCCCAGTTCCCAAAGTGGGTGGGAGTCATTCAGAGATTTGAGTCATCATGCTGACACTCAGGGTGCACATTGGCAGAAAGTTGGAATTGGGAGCAGAGCCAAGACTTGAACCCAGCCCCTCTGATATGGGACTTGGGCATCCCTACTGGCATATTAACCACTAAAACAAATGTCCAACCCAATACCGTTTATTATAGGCATAAAGCATCATCTGTTTTCCAAAGTATTGGCCTTTTAATTACATGCCTCTACCAACTCTAAGAATGTTTATTACATATGTTCACCAAGAAAATCAAACTGATATCACTGTGTGAATGTGAGTAGAAAGAACTTGAAAAGTATGTCTTACGTGATGTTACTTCATCTCCAAAAGTCATGCGCCAGTTAACTTATCTATAGCAATATGAATCAGTCAGGAAATTGATCTCCAAGCTACTGAACTTACTGTAAAAATTTTCTTAATAAGTACTTTTATTTAATAAGTAAGCCATTTCAAATGAATTCATATAATCACTAAGCATAGATAAACTTTGAGAAAATATTAATTTCTCCTTAGTCTTTTTTCTTCATATTCATTTAATACTTTTATGTCTTTGGTTTAGCACAACTATTGTATCAGAGAACAAAATGAGACTACTCAAATGGAACAAAAGGAGTAGAATATAACTTTGTGAACTGGCTAGATACACTCTTAAGGTGGTAAATGTTGTTGAACTAAATATTGTGTTAAAACTTAATATATTCCATAATGCTGTACTCTAGCATAATATATATAGTATATACATGAATGCTTCATATGTAAATGTTTATACATATATTCAAATACTACTAATAAAGGCAAATCATGATTATTTTACGAAACTTTTGTACCATTAGTGAAAATTAGTCTAGTATGTCATAATTTATTTACTCCCTTTTCATATATCATATTGTTTTGCTTCATAATTTTTTATTTGAGAGAGAGAGAGAAAGAGAGAGTGAGAGAAAGAAATGTATAGAGAGAATCTCCTTTTTTTTTTTTATTTTTGACAGGCAGAGTGGACAGTGAGAGAGAGAGACAGAGAGAAAGGTCTTCCTTTGCCGTTGGTTCACCCTCCAATGGCTGCCACAGCCAGTGCGCTGCAGCCGGCGCACCGCGCTGATCCGATGGCAGGAGCCAGGAGCCAGGTGCTTTTCCTGGTCTCCCATGGGGTGCAGGGCCCAAGCACCTGGGCCATCCTCCACTGCACTCCCTGGCCATAGCAGAGAGCTGGCCTGGAAGAGGGGCAACCGGGACAGAATCCGGCGCCCTGACCGGGACTAGAACCTGGTGTGCCGGCGCCGCAAGGTGGAGGATTAGCCTATTGAGCCGGCCTGAGAATCTCCTTTTGATTTGTTAATTCCCCAAATGCCTTTAAGAATTTGAACTGGGCCAAGCCAAAGCCAGGAGCCCATTATTGCGTCTGGATCTCCCACATGTTTACCAGAGAAAAGTACTTGAACCATTACCCACTAAGCCTTCCAGACTGCATATCAGTAGGGTCTCCCTGAGTGTACATTATTAGGAAAGTAAAAATACAGTTATAGATTAGATTAGAACTTAGGCACTCTTTTGTGGAATGCAGGTGTCCCAACTGGTTCCTGACTTCTGTGTCACAGTGAGAGACCCTACTTCATATTTTGTGTTTAAATTTTGAATTTCTTTTTATAATTCAAATTGATCTACAATCATTTTATATAATCACATTGTTACTGCTAATACAATATTAGCATTGTTAAACATTTTTCTGTTTTTTATTGTTTGTTTCCTTGCAAATTTTCTGTGATTAGAGCATCATATCTCACTTAAATGTGTGTGATTGTTCATTGATAAATTCACCAGAGAATGAGGTTCCCTTTGATAAAATGATAATTTCAATTAAAAGGTAATTTATTTAAAAGATACTTGACTCTTTTTATTTTATATTTTCATCATTGTCTTCAGTTATTTTTTCATTGCATTAAAATTTCAAATATATTGTTATGCTTTTATGAAATATTGCTAGGAGAACTTATTGTCATAACGTTACTTATGAAATACTTGTCTAGGAGTTTAAATGTCATTATTAATTGCCTTGTAACTCTGGGTTTGTCATTTATTTCCACTCTGGATAGACAGAAAAAAAGAAAAAAAAAACAATTTTCTCACCAGTGTTGATCTGAGAATCAGGACTGACGATGTTATTTAATGTTTCCATTTAAACTCCCAGAAATATGCTACATTAACTGTTTTATGGTTCAAAAAATCAAATTGTGAACTATTTCGTAGTCCTCTAATTAATGTGCATATTGTACTTTTGTGAATATTCTATTTTAAAATCAAATGTATTAATCATGTTTTCCAAATCTAAATGAAAGTTGACTACCAGTTGACATATATTTCATATGCAATGTTCCAAATCAATGTTATATGTAAACAGGGACTATTTTAAGGTTTTGTAATGTAAATTAAAAATTAAGTAATTTAATTTCTAAATATTTAGGTTGCTAAAATATTTCTGTCTTTACCTCAAGTTTTGTTATTTTACTTTAAAATCAATATGAAAAAAGGCCGGCGCCGCGGCTCACTAGGCTAATCCTCCGCCTAGCGGCGCCAGCACACCGGGTTCTAGTCCTGGTCGGGGCGCCGGATTCTGTTCCGGTTGCCCCTCTTCCAGGCCAGCCCTCTGCTGTGGCCCGGGAGTGCGGTGGAGGATGACCCAGGTGCTTGGGCCCTGCACCCCATGGGAGACCAGGAAAAGCACCTGGCTCCTGGCTCCTGGCTCCTGCCATCGGATCAGCGCGGTGCGCCGGCCGCAGCGCGCCGGCCGCGGCGGCCATTGGAGGGTGAACTAACGGCAAAGGAAGACCTTTCTCTCTCTCTCTCTCTCACTGTCCACTCTGCCTGTCAAAAAAAAAAAAAAATTAAAAAAAATTAAAAAAAAAATTAAAAATAAAAATAAAATCAATATGAAAATGAACATTTAGGACTGGGATTAAACTGGAGCGAGAATTGTCATCCTTTGTGGATATAGCAGATGTTTGGAAATACAATTCATAATATTCTGATTTTTTATTTTCTGGATTTAAAATATTATTCAAAATTATTTAATAAAATGTTATTTTACAGTGTAATTTTATGCTAATCGTTACATCTTTCTGAAAGTCACAGATATTAAGCAAAACATAATCAACAAGTTATTTTTATTACACCTGTGATGGAGTCATTCTGTATAAAATTAAAGAGAGGTTGTTATTTTACTATGAAAATGATTATAAATACTTTTCACTTTTTTTTAGTGAACTCCAAAGAAACATGTATTTTCTACGGAGCATTTGGGGATTAATTTTTCTTGCAGATTTTCCATTTTTTAACATGGTAAGCAGGTCAAGTTCCTCAGTTAACTTACCTTATATTTTTTAATGCCACACTAGTCTACAAGCATTCTAACCTTTTTTCAAAGTGATGATTAGCTTTAATAGAAAAACAATTCTCAACAGAAAATGTGGGGTTAAATAAACTTTTTCCTTTTTGTTAGACAATTATGCTCAAAGAATTTGAGACTATGATAATTTATTGATAAAACAATTTTTAAATGTAGGACCTTGAAATTTCTTTTTTTTAAATAATTATTTTACTGATTTTATAAGAGGAGTTACAGAGAGAAGTAGAACCAGAAAGAGAGAGAGGTCTTGCAATTCGCTGGTTCTCTCCCGAGGTGACCACAACAACCATAGCTGAGCTGAGCAGAGGAGCTTCTTCCAGGTCTCCCATGCAAGTGCAAGGCCCCAAAGAGTTGGGCCATCTTCTACTGCTTTCCCAGGCCATAGCAGAAAGATTTATTTTATTTATTTGAAATGAAAAATGACAGAGAAAGGTGGAGACAGAGAGAAAAAAAAGAAATCTTCCATTCACTGGTGTACTCCTCAAATGGCCACAACAGATGGGGTTGGACCAGGATGAAACCAGGAGTCTGGATATCCATCGAGGTCTCCCATGTGGGTTGTTGGGGCCCAAGACCATGAACCATCTCCCAATGCTTTCCAAGAGAAATTTTTAGGTAGCTGTGTCAGAACCAGTGCTCTAGGGACTCCAGTTGGCATTCTGATATGGTGTGCTGACATCAGGTAGGAACATAAATCCATGAACACAACACCAGCCCCAGGAATATTTTTGTATTACATCTAAATCTTAAAACATTTTACCGAAAATACACTTGTTAATTATTTTTAATGTTATATTACTTTATTCATGTTGTGAAATGCTTATTTTTATGTTGCAATACTCATTAATATTGTTAGTTAAAATAATCAAAATATCCTGGTAATGGCACAGAAATAGGTATGTAGACCTATGCAACAGAATAGAATCCCCAGAAATCAATCCATGCATCTATAATCAATTATTCTTTGACAAAGGAGACAAAATTAATCCCTGGAGAAAAGATGATCTCTTCAACAAATAGTGATGGAAAAATTGGATGTACACATTCAGAAGCATGAAATAAGACACCTACCATACAGTTTATACAAAATCAACTCAAAATGATCAAGGGTCTAAATCTACATCCCGATACCATCGAATACCTAAGGAAGAGCGTGGGGAACTCAGCAAGATATTAGAATAGGCAGAGTATTCTTGTAAAACAGCCCAAAAGCACAGGCAATCACAGCAAAAATGGGATTATATCAAGCTTCTGAAATGCAAAGGAAACACTTAACAAAGTACAGAGGCAACCAGCATAGTGGTAGAAACTATTTGCAAACTATGTAACTGATAAAGGATTAGTATCCAGAATTTTTAAAGACCTCAAGAAACTCAACAAGATAAAACAAACAATCCAGTTAAAAAGTAGGCAAGGAACTTGAACAGGCATTTTTCAAAAGAGGAAATCCAAATGGCCAGCAGATACATGATAAAAAGCTCAGGATCACTAGCTAATAGGGAAATGCAAGTAAAAATCACAACGAGGTTTCAGCTCACCTGCTAGAATGGCTCTCATGCAGAAATTAAAAAAAAAAAAAAAAACAATAAATGCTGGTAAGAATGTAGGGAAAAAGGTTCCCTAATCCACTATTGGAAATATAAGCTAATACAGTAATACAGCCATTGTGGAAGATAGTATGGGGATACCTCAGAGAAAATAGAAGTACAATATGACTCAGTGATTTCACTCATGGGAATTTACCAAATGAAATGAAATCAGTATGTGAAAGAGTTACCATGCCCTTTGTTTATTGCAGATCAATTCACAATAGCTATGAAATGGAATAAACCCAGGTACCCACCAACTGATGACTGGATTAAGAAAATTTGGTATATATACATTATGGAATACTACTCAGCTAAAAGAAAGAATGAAATCCCATCTTTTGCAACAAAATGGATGCAACTGGGACTCATTATAGTTAGTGAAATAAGCCAGTATGGTGGTTGCATTGTGGCATAGTGGGTAAAGCTGATCCCTGTGATGCCAGCAACCCATATGGATACAGGTTTGAATCCTGGTTGCTCCACTTCCAATACACCTTTCTGCTAATGCACTTGGGAAAGCAGCAGAGGATGACCCAAGTGATTGGGCCCTTGAACCAAAGTGGGAGACCCAGAAAAAGGTCCTGGCTCCCAGCTCTGGCCATTGCAGCCATTTGGGGAGTGAATCAGTTGACGGAATATCTCTCTTTCTCTGTCACTCCCTTTCTCTCTGTAACTCTTTGAAAAACATCTAATTTAAAAAATCCAGTTCCAAAATGATTAAAGTATGTTTTCCCTGATTTGTGGTAACAAATAGTGTACAAAAATTATAATGTGTTATTATTTTCATTGCAATCTGCACAAAGCTATTCTTGTGCATAAACTGTTGGGAGGAAGTGACTTGAAGTTTAAATTAAATCAACTATTATCATATAACCACACAGAAAATATTTTGATAGTACACAGTTGATTATATTTCATTAAAATTATGAACCGCTAATTAAGCATAAAAACTATATATGTGTGAAATGGTCATTTATACATTCAATTATTGTTTGTAGCTGTTGTCTATAATCCCACTCAACTAAGGTATTTTGCTTTTCACTGGTTAGATTTGTTATCTAGTGAAGTATGCCTTTTTACTGTAATGTAAATTTAAAATATATTATCTCAAAACTAAGAAAAGACAAAAAGAAGGGCAGAAGAAAACAGGGCAGGTGTAAGGGAGGAGAGGAATACTATTATGTTCTTAGACATATTTACAAATCATATTGAATAGGTTAACATTTAATTAAAATTAAAATTAAAAAAAGAGAAAAATGATTTTTCTGTAAACAACAAAAAATAACCATAGCAACTATCAAACAAATTTATAATAAAATGTAAATGGTTCCAGATAAGCACATACATCATTTGATAAATACATGTATTTATGCTAGGTGTTTGCCTAGTAATTATAAGCATTTAGTTTCTATTTATAAAGGAATTAGATTTTGTGTGATTAATCTACTCAAAAGTGAAATAAAATATAAAGAATATTTTATTCTAAAAGATAACTGTGAAGAGTTTTCATTTTTCCAAAATTATTGAGACAGAAAAACTATTTTGTGTTACTGTCCAAATATATTTATATATATATATATACTATACAAACGCAGACATAAATCCATATATTTCATGTGACACATTTTGTTTTCATGCAGAGAAAATACAAAATTCCAGCCAATAATGAATCAGAACAGTGCTGATACAAGAAAGAAAATAACAAATATCATAGTGTCAAACTGCCTAGAACAAAGAAAGCTCACATGCAAAAACGTAGTTAGAGAAAGAGGCATTTTCCTTCCTTTTTAAGAAGTTCCAAAATATTAAATAAATAGGAAGTTAAGATATAAAATAAAATGTTTGAATTTAATATATGAAAGTAGAAAGCATATTTATGTGTACATGTGTGTGTATACACATCCATATATGAGTATATGGTTTTAGTTCTTTAACTTCATGATTTTACTAGCCAATCAAATTTCATTTGTTTTGTTAATTTTAATTGAAAACAGAAATTCTGAGCAAGAGTCAGAGAGATGTTTTCCCTCTGCTGGTTCACTCCCAAAATGCCAACAGTCAAGGCTGGGTCATACCGAACACAAAGTCTTGAACTCAGTCTGAGTCTCACGCTTCGGTGAGCAGGAACCCAACCACTTGGGTCATCGTCTGATGTCTGCTAGGGTGCACTTTAGCAGGAAGATTGAATCTAAAGCAAAACTAGGACTCAAATCAGCTCTGATTTTAATGTCCTAAGCAGTAGTTTAAACTCTGCAACTTAAACTTTGCCCCCAATCTATATTTTAGAATCAGAAACACTGATATGAGCTGTTTTCTTAAAAATTTGTCTTTTGAAATATTTCTTTTCTCTCAACTTATATCAAGATATTTCACAATATGTAAAAGATTTACTAAAAGGAACATAATAAATATAATTTGTTTTCATTATGTTATGAATATAGTTTTCCCATTTGTAAAGATTTTACCTTTGTCACTTTTAAAAAGAAAATTAAATCAGATTCCTTGTAAAATAGCTTACCTCAGCTTGACAATTTTGATTAAGTTAATCCCTTGATAATGTTTAATTTTTATTGCTCTCAACTAAACTTAACAAAAACTAAGCTGTCAATATCATTACTTATTACCCGGATTTTAAAAAGCCGCATTATAATTTGGCAATTATGCCCACTCAAAATAATTAAACACCCCTTCACAAAATAACTTTTGTGTTGAAATGATTTCTGTTTAAGTCTCCTGAATTTGAATACATTGATCCATGCCTGATTAAATACATTAAAACACAAGGGTAACACAATTCTTATCAGGTTTAAGGCAATACTTTTAGATTTTATTAAATGGTAAGGGAATAATTAATAATTATAATGGTGTGGCTTCTCTCCTAACAATAATTATAATTGTCCTTCACTCTCAATTAATCCTGTGGAAAGCAAAAGATTTTCTCTGATAATGGAATGAAACTGATTTGTTGATATTGAGTTCCTCTCAAGTTGATTTTAGTAGTTTGAAAAATTTGGAACTCCACCATGTAGAAGAATGAGACCAGAGCAACACTCTATTATTCAGAAGACATCCTTGTGTAAGTTAAAACTCATAGTCATAAAATAAACTCACTGCTAATATTCTACTCTCAAGAAAAGAGTACATTTAAAATTGGTCAAATGTATAGTATTATTTGGTTTTATGTTGGGGGTTTATTTATATGAAAGACAAAGATACACGGACTTAGTAAGAGAAAACTCTTATCCACTGGTTCATTCTTCCAATGCCCTCAGCACCCAAATTATGTTGGGTAGAAAGCAAGAGCCAATAACTCAGCCCAGGTGTCCTACATGGGTGACAGAGCATAATCACCTGCTATCTCACGTTTCACATTAGTAGGATTGCAGACTCAGGAACCAGAGGCAAGTTTCAAACCTAATCAATCAGATGAGGGATGCAGGTATCTAAACCACTATGCTAATTACTCACCACAATGTGTAATTTTAATGCACAAGTAACAACTTGTAATGATCAATTCAGGTGAATTGTTATTGTTTTTAAGATCCAAGGAAGTGAACTATAGAAATGATCCCTGAAAGTAATATAAGAGTGGGAATAAGAGAGGGAGGAGATGTACAATTTGGGTCATGCTCAATCGGACCTGCCCCAAATGGTGGAGTTAGAATCATGCCAGGGGATCCCAATACAATCCCATCAAGGTGGCATGTACAATGCCATCTCACTAGTACAAGTGATCAATTTCAGTTCACAATTGATCACACTGATAGGTCTAAGAGTCAAAGGGATCACACAAACAAGACTAGTGTCTGCTAATACTAGCTGATAGAATCAAAAAGGGAGAGAACAATCCATCATGGGAAGCAGATACACAGTAAATGGCAGATGTCCTAAATAGCATTCTGGCCTCAGAATCAGCCCTTAAGGCATTCGGATATGGCTGAAGAGCCCATGAGAGTATTTTAGGCATGGAAAGCCAAGATATCCTGGGGGAAAAAAAAAAGACCTAAATGGAAGGTCTCTGCGAGTGAGATCCCAGTGGAAAGAATGGGGCCATCAAAGAAGGAGGTACCTTTCTCTGAAGGGAGGAGAGAACTCTCACTTTGACTATGACCCTGTCAGAAAAAGATCGAAGTCGGCAAACTCAAAAGGCTTCCATAGCCTTGACAACTCATGACTAAACAAGAGTGTCAAATTGTTAAGTCAACAACAGGAGTCACTGTGTACTTACTTCTCATGTGGGATCTGTCCTTAGTGTGTTGTCCAATGTGAAGTAATGCTATAACTAGTACTGAAACAGTATTTTACAATTTGTGTTTCTGTGTGGGTGCAAACTGATGAAATCTTTATTTAATATATACTAAACTTATCTTCTGTATATAAAGATAATTGAAAATGAATCTTGATGTGAATGGAATGGGAGAGGGAGCGGGAGATGGGCGGGGTGTGGGTGGGAGGGAAATTATGGGGGGGAGAAGCCATTGTAATCCACTAACTGTACTTTGAAAATTTGTATTTACTAAATAAAAAATTAAAAAAAAAAGATCTGAGGAAGCTTCAGCATAAAATAAAATGATGGCACATGTAGAATCTTATGATTTAATCCTTTATTAAATATGTAATTAAATTGTTATATTTAATTATATGCATGTTTATATCTGTAATTATAAACATAAAATATACATATAATTTTACCTGAAAGTGGGAGAGAGAAAGAGAGAGAGAGAAGGAGAATCTTTCATCTACTTGTTCACTTCCAAAATGCCCACAAAAGCCAGGATTGGACATGCAAAGCCAGAAACCAGGAACCAGAAACCAAATTGAGTGGCAGAGACCCAAGTACCTGGTGTCTCCCAGGATGTCCATCAACAGAAAGCTGGAAATAGAAGTGGAGCCAGAACTAGCTAGATACTTGATATAGGATATGGGCATCCCAAGAGGCATCTTAACTGCTGTACCAATGATGCACCTTGGTAATTTATATTTATAAAAATCAATGATTGGCCAGTACCACGGCTCACTAGGCTAATCCTCTGCCTGTGGCGCTGGCACCCTGGGTTATAGTCCCAGTCTGAGTGCCGGATTCTGTCCCGCTTGCTCCTCTTCCACTCCAGCTCTCTGCTATGGCCCAGGAAGGCAGTGGAGGATGGCCCAAGTGCTTGGGCCCTGCACCCGCATGGGAGACCAGGAGGAAGCACCTGGATCCTGGCTTCTGATTGGCACAGCACGCTGGCTGTAACTGCCATTTGTGGGGTGAACCAATGGAAAAGGAAGACCTTTCTCTCTCTCTCACTGTCTAATTCTGCCTGTCCAAAAAAAAAAAAAATCAATGATACACACCAAGAAAAGATATTCTAGATGTTATTATTTCTTGCTTCTCATGTCATTTAATGCAGAATACCCAATCTATTTTCATAAGATTTCATGTGAGGTTTTACAAATGGAGCGAATACATGATGCTCAGTTAAATTTAACTTCAGATATTCATATATCTAATTTATATGTGTTATGTATGTGTGTGTGTGTGTGAGTGTGTGTGTGCATGTTTATTCAATATTTGGAACACAAAAAATTAATATTTATTTGAAGTTTAGATGATTGCAGCTCCCTGTGTATTATCTGACAATAGCTTTTTAAGCCTACAGATTAAACTTGTTCAGATAGTACTGAATTTAGATTTAAAAGATGTTAATACTTTTTAAAGTTAATTTAAAAATAGATACACTTTTGTCTAGTATATCCCCAGTGAATGATCATTTTCTCAATATGATTAATAGACATGTCATTCTAGGGTGGCCATTTGTTTTAGCAGTTAGGATGTCACTTCGGACAATCATACCCTGTATCAGAGTACCTGGGTTGGAAATCTGACTCTACTCCAATTGTGTCTTTCCACCCACCCACAGAGTGGGAAGCAGCAGGTGATAGCTCAGTATTTGAGTCACTTCAAAACATGTGGTGGATCTTATTGGAGTTTGAGACTCCTGCCTTTGGTCTGGACTGACCCTGGCTCATACAGTATCTCTCTCTCTCTCTCTCTCTCTCTCTCTCTCTCTCTGTCTCTCTCACTCTCTCTTTCTTTCTCTCTCCCCCTCACACTCCCCCCTCCTTCTCTCTTTCAAGAAAATAAGGTTTTTTTTAATTATAAAAAGTAAAAGTGTTTTGACAGCAGGAAAAAAAACCTTAGAGAATTATTAACAGAATTGCTTGTTCTCTATTCAATTTCCTCCCAATAGTAAGAAACCCAACTTGGTACTGTGTTTTAAGTCCAAAGGTCAGACTCAGGAAGAGAAATATTAGTAAAGGAGAATAATAAAACATTTTCAATTGCTACAGTAAAATAGAATAATTGCCCGGGATTTTAATATTTGAACTATAATAACTTTATTTCTATTTTTTTCATTTTGTTCTCCAAGCATCTCATTATCGTCTATGTATTATGTTTGTGCAAATATGAAATTGTATTCATGACTTGCTGCCCTGAGTCTCAGGTATGGCTTTGTTCTTGTCTTCATTACTGCTGGATTAATATCATAGATTAAATAGAAGCAGCTTAGAGAGACAGCAGGAGAGCAAGAGTATAAGAAACAGAAATGGAACAAAAAAACAGAGGAAATGTCAAACTTTGATCATTTTTATATTTAACTCCTTCCTCATGTATAAAACATGATCCTCTATGATAATAACTGTAAATATACCTCATCCCTTAACTGTATTGTCTTTTCCATGGGAATACTAACTGAATATGGTGTCTTTCATCATTAAGACAACCCTTTTTCACATTCATTCCAGCCTTTGTTCATTCTTAAACTTCTTCCTCCCAGGATTAGCAAATCTTTTTTTTTTTTCCTGCCATGTGATTGTTTATAACATCATTCCCTGGCCTTACAAATATATCAACTTAAAATTTGCCTGCTAATTTACATCCTACCTTTATGGAATTTACATCCTACCTGTCATTGTATAGGAATAGATCAAATGATTTTGAGGGCCTTATATGGCCTGCAGGCCCAACAATATCCATCCAAGCAATATAATTCATGATTCTATGTCCCTCAATGACTGCACCACTGTCTAGTTAGACGCTGTTCAGGAAAGAATAACCTTCCATGGGAATTACCTTCACTCTTCTCTGCATCAAAACTGGTGTTTAGTGTTGCACACTCTGCTCTCAATTTTCATTATTTACTTGTCTCCCTTTCCACTCTCATGAGTACTCCCTCCTGAACTAGTCATGTAATTTTCCATTTGGATTCTCTACATCCTATCTTGTTCTATTAATTTCAATATCTTCTTTAAAACATATAATTAGTGCAACTCCCCTGGGTGAAATATAATTTCTCTTGAGAAAAACTCAAAGACATGGCCAAAATCTGTCTTCAGTCCAACGTTGTTTGAAAATGCACAGTTTACTGAGGCCAACGCTGTGGTGCAGTGGGTTAACGCCCTGGCCTGATGCACCGGCATCCCATATGGGTGCCAGTTCTAGTCCCAGCTGCTCTTCTTCCGGTCCAGCTCTCTGCTATGGCCTGGGAAAGCAGTGGAAGATGGCCCAAGGCCTTGGGCCCCTGCACCCATGTGGGAGACCCGGAAGAAGCTCCTGGCTCCTGGCTTCGGATTGGTGCAGCTCTGGCCGTTGCGGCCATCTGGTGAGTGAACCAGCGGATGGAAGTCCTCTCTCTCTGTCTCTACCTCTCTCTGTAACTCTGTCTTTCAAATAAATAAAAAAAAAATTTACAAAAAAGAAAATATACAGTTTACTTGTTAACGGAATTTCTGTTTTTCTGGCTGTTACCCCTACCTTGTCTTCAGAATATCAAGGTATAATTTCTATCTCTGAGCTTTTGGTGAAAGGGATACAGATTGAAGAGGAGAAGAACTAAATAAAAATATAAAAGGCTGGAAGGGAAATCTCAAGACATACTCAGGGAATGAGTACAGCTTTAGCCATTAAGATGGAAGGAAAATGTGTCTGAAATTGAGTATAAGAAGCACAAATAAAGATGTGAAATTAATTTCACTTTGCTTTTTAACTGTTGCATACATTTCTATTTTTCAGTAATTTTTCGCTCACATAAAGGAAATTTTAAAATAGTCACTAATTATTTTCCATATAGCTCATGATATATAATCTACCAAATCAAAGTCTTATGGTTTAAAAAAATCTGAGAAACAATACTTTGAGGGTGCACTATGTATTCTTTGCTTTCAAATCCTATCCTCTTACCCTCACAACACTCCCTTAATTTTTTTTAAACATTTATTTTATTTATTTGAAGGACAGAGTTACAGAGAGAGGAAGAGATAGAGAGAGAGGTCTTCCATCTGCTGGTTCACTCCCAGATGACCACAATGGCCGAAGCTGCTTAGATCCTAAGCCAGCAGCCAGGAGCTATTTACAGGTCTCCCATGTTGGTGCAAGGGCCCAAGGACTTGGGCCATCTTCTACTACTTTCCCAGTACATAGCAGAGAGCTGGATCGGAAGAGGAGCATCCAGGACTAGAACCGGCGAATATATGGGATGCCGGCACTTCAGGCCAGGGCTTTAACTCGCTGCACCACATCACCGGCCCCTTCTCCCTTAATTTTTTTTTTTTTTAAATTTCTTTGTTGAAAAAGAGATAGGATTTCATTCTTTTTTTTACAGCTGAGTAGTTTTCCATAGTGTATATATTTTATAATTTCTTTATCCAGTTATCAGTTAATGGACATCTGAGTTAATTCCATATCTTAGCTATTGTGAATCTGCAATAGACATTGAGATACAGACAACTCTTTAACATACTGATATCATTTCCCTTGGGAAATTCTAGAGTGAGATGGCTGGATCATATGGTAGATCTATTTTCAGCTTTCAGAGGTATCTCCATACAGTGTTCCACAAAGGCTGTACTAGCTTACATTGCCACCAACAGTGGATTAGAGTACATTTTACCCACATCTTCTCTAGTATTTATTGATTTCTGTATGAGTCATTCTAACTGGGGTGAGATGAAACCCCATTGTGGTGTTGATTTGCATTTCGCTGTTGACTAGTAATCCTGAGCATGTTTTATGAGATTGTTGGCCATTTAAATTTCCTCTTCTGAAAAATGCCTGTTCATGTCCTTTGCCCATTTCTTAACTGGATTTTTGTTTTGTTGTTATTTTTGTTGTTGTTGAGGCTCTTGAGCTCTTTATAGATTCTGAATATTAATCCTTTATCAGTTTCACAGCTTGCAAATATTTTTCCCCATTCTGTTTGTTGCCTTTTCACTTTGCTGAGTGTTTCTTTTAAAGTTACTTTGAGCTTTGAAATTATTTTGGAGCAAGATACAGAATGACTTTAATGTGTGTGCATGATATCAACATTCAAAATAAAAGTATATTAATATAACTACAAATGATCTAGTATATTGTACAATTCAGATATTGCATTCCAAATTAAATACTTTACAAATGTAAAACATGTGCTTCTTAAGTTGCAAGAATTATCAAGGTAATTGGGTTAATTAACAGAAAAGAAAATTGAATTTAGTGTATTTTACTGTGGTGCTTTTTGTCTTGTGGATTTAGATAACTTACATTTGATAACATAGCAAAATTTAAGCATCACAAATTGCATAGAAAGTTATTTATTCATAGATTTATTTATAGATTTATTTATTCATTTATTTGAAAGACAAAGTGACAGAGAGAGGAGAGAGAAAAATAGAGATCTTCCATTTGCTGGTTTACTCCCAATATGGTTGTACATCCTATGGCTGGTCCAATCTGAAGCCAGGAGCAAAGAATCTGAGCTCCATGTGGGTCTCCATGTGGATGACAAGGACACAAGTATTTTTAGCCATCTTCTACAGCTTCCCAGGCACATTAGTAGGGAGCTTGGTTGCAGGCAAATTGGCCAGTACTGGAATCAGCACCCCAACATGGAATGTAGGCCTGCATCAGCTTAACTTGCTATGCCATAATTCCAACTTGTTTTTAACACTTCACACAAAACCCTGTATGCAGGTTAAACCAGTTTTAGACCTTTGGGAAAGTAAATACACTCCAAACTATGTGCTAATTATATAATGATTTTACTGAGTATGTGGAATCCTAAATATTCTCTCAAACAATTTCAATGTTTTGCTTTCACTGATAAGGATTAATATTCTATTTACTTGACCTGAAGACTGTGGCTTCTAGTCAATAATACTTTGAAAATGCCCAAATCAGAATCAATCTAAAGTATATACCACATTTCAGAAATTATTTGATTAGAGGTAGAATTTTGTTCACATTGCATTATTTAGTGTATTGAATGACCAACTGTTTTCAGTCTCTCCTCTCTGTCTTATGCTCTGTTTCTCTCTCACACACACATACACAAACTACTGAAGAAAGACACAATAGCCAACAGTTAAGCCAGGTAGAGTCTGGGAGCCTAGACCTCAAATCAGATGTCCACATGGGTGGCCAGGACTTAATTACTCAAAACACCACCTGCTCCCTTCTTAAGGGTGCGTTATCATAAAGCTGAAATTGGTAGTGAGCTGAGTCTGAAACCCATGCTCTCTAATATGGAATGCAGGCATCCCAGATGGTGTCTTAACTTCTAGCCAAACATCCCTCCTTGAAGTAGAATTTCAGTCTCTCAATTATGTAGTGAATGTGTATGACATTTATGATTTACCTATGTCTCTTTGCTCAAATCTCTTGACGTACTAACATATTTTAACCTATATATCACTTGCTTTGCTTTGAGAAAGTAACTATTAATTCTATTGCTTCTTATTGTTTTTAGTTTATATCATTTGAGAATGAGAAAGAAAGAGGGAAAGCGTCCATCCACTGATTCATTCCCCAAATACCTACAATAACCAAGGCTGGGCTGTAGCCAGACCTAGGAAATCAAAACTCAATCTGGGTTTCTCAGTTGGGAAACAGGATCAAAATAACTTCAGTCATCACTGCTGACTCCCAGGGTCCACATTAGTGGGAAGTTGGAGTCTGGAGCAAAAGCTAGGAATTGCATGCAGGCACTGCCATGTGGGACATAGACAACTTAAGCACTAGGTTAAAAGCTTGCTTTATTCTTTTATGATATTCATAGAGCTTTCTCTGATTAACAAAAACAATTTTACACAGAGATGATTGTTATGCTCATTAAATTTTTGAACTTAGATAATTTAAACAATAATAAGAAACCTGATTGATTTTTGCCAACTGAGGTGCATTGGAAGCTGAGTAATGCCCACGAGCAAATAACTCCATACTTAGGCAACTAAGTGTAGAATACTCATACAGAAATTCCAACTATGAAAAAGTTATATCCCTCTCAATAATTCTATGTGACATTATGTTGACAGTTGGATATACCTATTCATTCTTCCATCTAGTAAGTTAAAATTGTTTTTTTTTATATCAAAACCAGAATTTACAAGACACCACTCCAAGAATACATGCCTAGTCTATTATCACTGAAATATAATTGTTTATTTGGATAATGTAGAAAAATATATTATGGGGACCCTAAGAAGAGGCACAGAGAAAATCTTCTGATATGGAGTATTGAAAACATTAAAGAGGAACTTGGATCACTGCATTAAGAAAGAAAACAACAAAACATTTTCCATCTCAAAGTGCAGAAGTAAATAGATGTTGCCTCAATATTAGGATACAAATGCAGGTTGGTACTTTCCTTATAGTCTTCATTTTCATTGTTATTATATCTACTTTTAAATTAGCCACATTTTTGGCTTCCTATAAGTTTATTTCTCATTCATATCACAGTCAAAACTAGGCCACTTTCCTCTCCCGGGCAGTTCCTCAGGGACGTGAGCTCCTTCTGTTTTTGGCTCTGTCATACGTATCCCTTGCTTGCAGTTCAGACACTAGAAGGACAGAACATAGAGTAGACAGAGGCTGTAATTTCCCTGGTCTGCAAGTGACTCATATCTCTTTTGCACACATTTCACTGGCCATTCTCATTTACCTGGGTAGCCCAGAGGTTTTCAGCTGCTGGAGTATAATAAAGCCCTATCAAATACCTTTTCAACTTGGGAGATCACGAGCAAATTAAAACTATGCTTTGGCACTTATTTTAAAAGAGTTTATTGTAATTTTTCTGCCTATAATTATGCAGGCATGTGTTCCCTTTTTTGACTGTAATTTTCAATATACCATTCCATTGGAAATATTACTATTACATTTCCAGAGGAGAATTCTACTAACTTAGAAATGTAAAATTGAGAACAAACTCTGGGCACTTAGTCTGATATGTTTACTGAAAACAAAATTATGAGCATTGTACTGTATGATCTAGGAAACAACAGACATTCAGATAAGCCCCACACTCTGATTTAAATGAAAACAAAAAGATAAAGTCTCATCGAGTTTTATCCTTTAAGTTTCTAGTTAGACTGTCTGTTATTCCAAATAAACACCATACACTCTCCCTGACTTTTTTTGTGTTCAATGAGTTAATATATGGAATGTATCTTGAACCATGCCTGGCATGGTGTTGAAACTTGAGAAAGTCAAGCATAGTATTTATTCACCTGTCATTTCCCAAAGTAGAGTTATTAGGGAGTTTCTGAATTAAAACTCACCCAGTTAACACTTTTGAAATAGTTTTAGATGACTTTGACATGAGCTAATGTTGGCAGCAGTGCCCTCCACAGTGCTCTGAAACTCCCGGTGAAACAAAGTCACAATGAGATTTATTTTTCACAACTTGGATAGTTACAATGAAGAGGATAGACAATTGCAAGCTTTAAGAGGAATATGTATTAATCATTACACTGATCCACCTCTAGTAGAAATTTTTGAATGTTGCAAAACAGTTTGTCAGTTACTCCTGTAGTTGCACCTAGGGTTGCATTATGCCCCAGTAATTACATAGCTATACATAAAACCGAAATAGCTGAAGCAGATGTTTATGCAAAAGATTACAAGCAAATGTTCATAAAGACATTATCATAAAAGAAAAATTGGAAAATGAAAGCAAAATGCATATTCATGAGTAAGTAAACTAAATGCAGTGTAGCGTGCAGCACAATGAGATATAATTTTTCCATAAAATGGTATGGTACCTGTTATAACACAGATAAACCTTCGAGATGTTGAGCTAAGTGTTAAGATGTCAGGTTTTTTTTTTTTTTTTTTTACAAAAAAGACCACATTTTCTATAGTTGTTTTATATGAAAAAGCTATAATAAGCAAAATTCATGGAGGTACAAAGGAGATAAACAATTTACCAGTTTGGAGATTAAAGGTAGCTGAGAGTGATGGCTAACAGATATGGGGTATCTTGGAATGATGACAATTTCCTATATATACTAAGTGGTGACAGTTGCAAAATCTTTAACTATATTAAAGTAGAATGACTTTTGACATTAAAATGAAATAAATTTATGATTTAAAATTATATCTCAATAAAACACACAAAATAGAACATCTGTATATCTATTAGAATGCCTAAAATAAAATAAATTAAAATTAATTATGAAATATAAATATGTATTTTAGTTCTATTGAATGTAAGCTATCTTAATAAATGTAAATAGTAAGCTCAATTATTTGACTGATATTTTTAACCACATTCTAATCACCATAGTATGAAAACTGGGCATATACAAAATTATACAGGATAAAATTATGTGTATCCAATTAAAGAGTATAAGCAATTATTCTATTTCATATTATCAATGTATGATAGTCAGTTTTAATATTTGAAGCCTCAACATTCAAATATCAATTATTATTTTAAGTACCTAAAATGTCCTTACACATACAGATGAAAAGACAAGCTGCTATCATAGTTGATACAAGTTATGTCCCAAATTTTGCCTTGTAGATAGGCAAAAGTACATTAAAACAAAAATAAAACATGATAAAAAGAAGTTATTTAATTGGAATCAAATTTTACCAGCTTGCAATTAGAGTGAATAATTTCCAAGATATTTTATTTGTATGATATCTCATTGTTTACTGGCCTAAGAGATATGTCATCATAGACATTTGCACAAAAATTTAATGTTAATAACTTGAATAAAATAAAATAAAATGCTATTTGACTATTTGTTAGATGAAAATTTATCTTGCTTGAAATATAATTTGCACATCCTGTAACTAATATAGTATCAAAAACATGGTCAAAAGTTAATTTAATTTTTTTGCAAATGGAAATAATACAAATATTTATTTTCTTATTTTGATTATTAGAATGATTCCTTTAACATTAGTGATAGCCTGAATTTTTCATTATGGATTAATTTCTGTTGTCTTAAGTATTACTCTTAAATCATAAATCTATATATAATGAGAAATATGCAAATGTAATAGAGGGTCATAAATTAAAGATCCATAATACATTTTTAAATTAAAATAGAAAACTAATTCAATTCACTAAAAATTAAACTCAAGAGAGTTCCAATCTTTATGCTCACATCACAGTATAATTACATTAGAAAAAAATCACTGATGATGAATATTTGTAATAATATGAGTCTCTTACACGCAGAATCCTTAGTGGTCACTAAAAATTGAGGACTAAAAAGTGTGTCATTCTTTTAGTTTATTCTATTTTGTTTATAAACATTTCAGGGAATGTTTGTTATAAATAAAAAATTGGGTTACAGTTAGTATGGAAGTTGAGTATGTAAGAAAGTTTATGTTAAGAAGCAATCAATCTATACACTGAAACATAAGAGATAGATTAAGAAACACTTGACACATCTTGCAACGAACATAAAATTTATTAATACAGATCTGTATGGAAACAGATGAAATAGAAACCAACAAAACCCAAATGCACCTCTTGATTCAGAAAGGGGTTTGAAAATATATAAAGTTAGGATAAATGAGGCATAGCTGGGTGAAACTAAGTGACAGAATATGACAGGTACAGTGGAAAGGGGTGTAGAAATCCTTTGAGCATGCATATTAACAAAGCACACCTTTACATGTGTTGCATGATAAAAAAATGGCTGCTGAAACATAACTGGAGGTACTTTACTGAACACTGTGATGACTGTAAGGCAACACTACTCAGTCTGAAATCTACACAGGCTTTAGTTACAATGTTAGCTGCAGCCAATTCCATCCAATTTTATAGGGACCCTAAAAAGCAAAGCTAACTATTTTATATAACTTGCTTTTACTCTTTTGTGATGATGATGATGATGATGATTAATATGATGAAGACAATGAAGAAAACAGCCACTGGCTATATATTTTAATTTTTTTCAATATAAGATTTTATATTAAAAACATTTTGTTTATCAATACTTTCTGTAAATTATTCATTGATTTTAAAATAGAAGCAGAAAAATATATTAATTACATAGTAAAATGGATCACACTTATTATAGATAATAAATAGTGTTTTCCATATGATAAAATAGAGTGAATTATTTATTTTTCCCTTCACAACATCCATTCTATTCTTATCCTATTATGAGTTTATCCAAATTTTGTTTTGTAACACAATATATATATATATATATATATAAAAATCTAAATCCATTTCTCCTATTGTCCTACAAAGAATTTCATTCTTCTTAAATAAAGTTGTTTATCAGTTTCACAACTAAAACAGCAACATTAAAAACAGTGAATACAAATAGAATTCTTCTAGTCATTTGTATGGAAGTTGACTTTGTGTAATAGGTTCCAAGTCTTTGTATAGTTACCGTCCAAATTCTTCCTTTATATAATAAGACAACAATAACTAGAGCAACAATAATTATGTTATCTAGTTGAAGAAATGCTAGAAAAACACGTCCCTATCCTTGAGAAGTGCACTCATAAAACTTTAACAACTATAGGTGTTAACATAATTTGTTGCTGGAAACAAAATATCCTGAAAAAAAAAAAAACATGTGAAAGTCATTGAATTATTAAATTACAAAGAAGAAAAGTGAATTAGGTAACAAATAAAATTAACAGATATCTAAGAAACAAGGTCTAAGAAAATATCTCTTTTACAAATTCACTGAAGAGCTTTATATGAAAATAAGAATGTGTTTACACACTCTTCATATAAATTACAGGTGACAATAACTAGATTTAATGGTGTTGTATCTGAACTTCACATATACATGAGGTTATTTCAAAAATTCATGAAAAAGATGAAATTAAAAATGACCATACAAAATCTAAACTTTCATTCGCATTCCTTTCTATGTGAACTTGTCAAAACTATCCTCATACAGTGTGCTTATATATAATGTGTTTCCTTTAAAAAAAATCAAGTTTAAAAATCACAAGAGGTATGGGAGTTTGGCACAACAGTTACAACAATTCTTGGGATGGCAGCAGATTGGAACACTTGCTGGTTTGGAACACTTGCTCTTCTTTCAGATGTAGCTCCGTGCTAATGCCTATCCATGGAGAAAGCCACTCATATCATCTCTTGGTTTTTCACATAAGTAAAAAAAAAAAAAGAAATAGGGATTAAATAAATAAAAATAACAAATATTTTGTTGATATAAAAGGCAAAACAAAATATAAGGTAGCAAGTGAAGCATATATCAAATATATGACACATAGCAAAAACATTTAAGATGATACATAAATAAAATCAGCTGTCAAGAAGACAATATCTTAATTTTAGGAAAACAAAGCAAGGTAATAAAAATAAATGGATTTTTGACTTTTTGAAAAGATAGGTCGAATTATTTCCTT